CGGTCGGAGCAGGGTGCCGAGCCGAGCCCCGCAGAGGGTCGGGATGGGAATGCCGCGGAGCTCGGCCCCAGGGAGCGCCTGGAATGGGGAGGGGAAGCTGCGGGGCTGGGGGAGCAGAGACACAGCCGGAGGGACCCAAAGGGCTAAGCTGTTCCAGTGGCTTTGCATCTTCGTGTGAGACCTGTGACCGCTTTGCTGTTGTGTTTACAGCCTGTTTGTAACCTCTTGGGTTATTATCATTTATACCTCGTTGTCACTTGTTGAAACTGAATATTCCCTGCTGGCTCGGGATGGTGAGTCCTGGGTGCTCCCTGCGTTGGGAGCAATGTTTGGGTGATCTCTTGCACAACAGGCCATGGATACAAAACTCTGTTTTTTCACTGTGAGGTTAGCTTTAGTTTTCCAAACACTTGCGACACATTTGAGCTTTAGGGTGGTTTGTTTTTTTTTGTGTGTGTAAAGCTGACTTTGTAAAGATCTCTGTAGATATTCTTTCCACCTTTAATACAACATTATTGCTGCTAGTGTAGTTAAAGGTTGGAGAGGACACGAGGAGTGCACTGCATATGCTGCTCTTTCTCCTGAGCTGGAGATTGAGTGTTTGTGTGTAATCCAAGACAAACACACACACCAACCACTGCCACGTTTTCATCTGTTGGTAAACATCAGCTGCTGGTTGGCCTTGAGGGAGGAGGAGTGAATTAGTTCCAGATGGAGAACTCTTCAGTCCATTTAGACTTTCCAGTTGATTTAAGCCAGCAGGTCAGTAATTTAGGGGAGTAGTTTTGTTCTTATTTGCTGTTTGCTTCCTGCCATGTGTGGAGTCAGTGGCAGCAAATCTGATGTCACTGTGCTGCCAGGGGTGGGAGCTTGGTTGTGCTTAATTCTTTGGGGTTTAATTACACTGTGCAAGCAGAAAAAGCATGAAGTGTGATAACTAACCATTTTGAATGTAGAGGGATAATTTTTTTTGAGGAGGAGGAGTCAAGAATCCATTTTTCTTCTTGAAAAATGTGTATCTTCCTTCAAAGTTTTTTGTTAAATTGGGTTAGCACAAGTACATCTTGTCAGAGAATTTTGTACCTTGGTGTGCTGCCAGCATGATTTCCTGGAAAAAATGGGAAAAGATAAGGGAACAGGGATGGAAATCAGTGCAGGGTTGTAATAGCAAAATAGAGAATGTGAGGAATGGAAAACTCCCCTGTAAAGTTGCTGCTGTGTAGGATACTGAGACTGACATGAGGTATTTAACTCCTTTTACATCTTGTCAGAGAATTTTGTACCTTGGTGTGCTGCCAGCATGATTTCCTGGAAAAAATGGGAAAAGATAAGGGAACAGGGATGGAAATCAGTGCAGGGTTGTAATAGCAAAATAGAGAATGTGAGGAATGGAAAACTCCCCTGTAAAGTTGCTGCTGTGTAGGATACTGAGACTGACATGAGGTATTTAACTCCTTTGTACCTCTGATTTATTTGAGATGCCACATTCTTAGTACCGTACCTCTGATTTATTTGAGATGCCACATTAACTCCTTAGTACCTCTGATTTATTTGAGATGCCACACTGGGCACAAAAAAGGCATGGAGAAAATGATGTGTCCCATCCATCCCATGTCCACACAATCAGGGCAGGTGCAGTAGCTCCTGGGACTGCTCTGGTGTTCCTCCCCCATCCTTCCTTTGCTGTGCTGCTGTTGTTTGTTGCACTGGAGTGTTATGATCTCATTTCAGACAGCTTTTCCAAGCTGTCCAGTGAATAACTTCCCCCACAAGAATTCCTTGCTAACTGTGTGAGCCCCATTGTCTCCTCTGTCCAGCAAATGTGCTTCTGAAGAGAAGTATTTCAGATGTCCTTCCCCTGAGTGTTGAGGAGCAAAAGAGTTCCAGTCCCTCATTTCACCCCCAGCTGATTCACCCTCTTTTCTTTTGCTGGTAAAACACAGCAAAACCAAAAGCAGCAAACTCATGGTGTGTTTGGATGTTGCAGTTAAGCTGCACAGGTGCAATTTTTTTCTTTCTTACCACAGACTTTGAGCATTACAGTGCTAACAGTGCCTGGCTGGAGGGGAGTAAAGGTCACAGGGTGGTTTTGTGGTTCTCTGTGCTCTGCTGCTGTGACTTGCCACAGTCTCTGTCATTTGTAAGAGGAGAAAGCTCTAGTTGCAAGTGATTTAGTGCCTTTCTCTGCCAGATCTGTTAAAAAAAGCCTTTAAGAATTGGTGCAAGTACTAACACTGAGTTGCAAGGTATTACTTACTGTGCCATGCAGTACAGTTATGTTGCTTTATTTGCAAGTCATTAAACAGAGAACAAACCTGTCTGGAAAGCTCTTGGACATATTAACCTCCTTTGGTCACCTGTATCTCAGATTTACCAGAATAACTCTGTTTGATTAGTGCAGGTTATAGTCCCTGAGTATTGATTGCTGTCTCGGGTTGATAACAGGTTACTCAGTGCTAAGGGCTCAGGATTCTGCCTGGATTGGCTGAGTTGGGAAGGTTTGTGTGTGGAGTGGTTTAAAGGGACCTTAGACTGAGATCAGAGACACTGTGGAATCTGGAAGAGGAGTTAGTTATAATGGAAAAGCCTGTGTTGATGTTCTTTGGAGGAGAGAGAACCTAAAAGCATGTGAAGTTTTGTGTGTACGTGGTATTTTAGAATAAAAAAACTCCCTTAGATAAGTTCTCGGTGCTTAATCGTGGTGTCATGGTATTAGGGGTTCAAAATCCAGTCTGGAAGACTAAATCCTTTTTGTCTTTCATAAAGTGCAGGTGAAATTTGATACCTTTGATGCGTTAGGGATTTAA